TTTTTTTTTCTCCTGCCCTGGCAGGGGGTCGGACTTGAAGATCAATAAGGTCCCTTCTGACCCTACTCCTATGATCCTATGTTCTTCAAATAGAAATCTTCCGAATCACCAACTGCTTTCTGAGGGAGGGGAGGCACCTTCTTCTTCCTCTACTAAAACACCCTTTCACTTGGAAATGTCTGTTTCCACTTCCAGAATCTTCTCTTGATCTCTCCCAAGCCTTAAGTAAGCACTACTTAGCTTCTCCCACCTTTTCTTCCTGGCAACCTGAAGGGATTTAAAATTTCAAGCACAAACATGGACCGTCATCTGAAGACAGAATCTAACACTCAGTTAGACAAGCATTATCTGTATTCCCCAAGCATAAATTTTCCACATTTCATTTTAACATAAGACTTTAGAGATAAAATACCATAAATTGCAAGGGTTGCATTATCATTTGTCTGTGTGTCAAAGGATATAATGACTATCCCAAGGAGCTTACAGTCCAAAGGCACAAGTGGGTATGGTAGAAAACATTATCTAGATGAGTATGTCCAGTCAGAAAGATAATCAGTTCCAGGGGCTGTAATGCTTAATGAAATGGGGGTTTTCATCCTGGCAGCTACTACTTCTTGCAGTTTGCCAATGAAGATATTTATTCAGGTTTCTGACATTTGCTCCTGCCAGCACAGCCTTCAGTTTGGTACATAACTCACATCCACAGCTTTTTTATGGAGCCTTCATTCATACTTCCCCTTACCTAGATCACAACATTTCTGTTGTTTCCGCTAGGTATAGAGAGATGCAATAATTATATGAGCATGGCAATGAGGGCCGACCTTTTTGGCAGGCATGCCACAAATTAAGCCCTCCGAGTGCCACTGTGATCCCTTTCCCCTGCTTCACACACCCTGCCCTATTCCCTCTTAATCTGCTGCATGCAATGGAGACCTGTGCTTCTTGTGACATGGTCACCCATGTAGGATAGCATGATACCCTAAGATGTTACATTTGCATGCTCCTATAAGATTAGGAGGAAACAAAACTATTAACTACTTTAACCACATATCATTCAAGGCCCAAGTTACAGGGGTTTGGCTCCCACAAATTCGTATAGGAGCTTAAAGATATAAAAATGTGTGTGTCATAACAACCATAAAGCTTCTCCCCTTTTAAAACAGGTGAAAGCTACTGGCCACAGCCTCTATCAGCATGTTCTAGAGTTGTATCTAAACACAAAGACTGTGAGGGAATGACATCACAGAAAGATACTGTAGGTATCTCAACAGTGAATTTCAACCAAAGTGCCATAGCACCCACGGTTGCCATGAGAACATTTCAACGGTGCCACATAATATTAGTACTGCTAGGTGTGCAAATACCTGCACGTGATTCATAAGACAAACCCAGAAGGCGCATCCCCAATGCTGTCCTTACAGACAGGCCTTGTGCCCCCAAAATGGGAAGAGTGTTTGCAAGCAGGGGGTTTCACCTACTTGCAGACATGAGTCCCAAATCAGAACACAGTACCAGGGCTGTTTTCCTACAACAGGGGTAGGCAAAATACGGTCCGTGAGGCCATTCTATTCAGCCCATGGGGCCCTTAAAAAGTGTAGAAAATGAATATTGATCTGTCCTTGGTTCCTGTCAAAAATGACAGAAACCAGGGACAGTAGGACCCAGGGGAAGCCCAGTGGGCTCCTGCAACAGCAGGGCCTACCCTGCCTCCCCCCGCCCCAGCTGGGGCTTCTGGCCTGGGGCCATGTGGCTGCCTTGGCACCAGAACCTCAGGTAAGGGGGGACCGGGAAAAAGCTGAGTGTGGGGAAAAGCAGCCCCTCACCCACTCCGTGGCCCACATTCCCTACTGCAGCCAATCACAGCCCACATGAGGGTGTCCTGAGCAGGCACAGGCAGCCCCACGCAGGCTGCAAGCAGTTCTAGCGCAGGACAACAGGCATGGGGTGAGCAAGGGGCCACTTTTCCCCATGCTCAGCACCAGCTTGTCTGCTGCCAGGGAGCAGGGGGTTGGGGCTGCATGCTGCCCCCTCACCTGTACTGCGGGGCACTGGAAGTGAGAGGGAGCATGTGTCCCGGGACCAGCACCGGCAGGGCCCAGAGCAGGGCAGCAGGAGTACAGGGTCCCAGCCGGCAGGGGCTCTATGGAACTGGGCCAGCTCCCCTGTCTCCCTGCTGGTGCAGCCCACCCCAGCTCCACAGACCCCTGCCAACCTGCGCCCTGCTCTGGGCCCTGCCAGTGCTGGCCCCGAGACATTGGTTCCAAGACATTGGGACATTGGTCCCAAGATGGTGACCAGGGGGTGGGGCACCTGTCAAGAGGCGGGGCTACCCATGCAGCCCTAGACAGCTTGCCAAAGCTGGGCAAGCGGCCCTCTGCCGGAAATAATTGCCCGCCCCGTCCTACAAGATCAGACCCGGCTGATCATTTTCAAAGATGATATCAGTTTCCAGCCAAAGAGAAGGTTAAGGGATACCAATCACAGTCTCCAACTTGCTGCTCACAGACAAGAAATTTAATAAGAAAGAACTTTCATCTAACAAAGATACAATTAGATCCAATGGCTGGAAACCAGAACTGCTCAAATTCAGAGTGAAAATAAGGTACACATTTTTAAAGCAGTGATCAATACAGTGAACAACTTACATATACATACCTTTGAAAGGTCAGATATTTTTCTAAAAAGTATTCACTAATTCTCCCACAGCTATTTAATTATTTCAGAAGTTTAAGAGCCTGAATGATACAGACGGTCAAACTAGAACAGGGTCAAGCAATTGTTTCGGGCCACTTACTCAGTTTTGGCAAGCTGTCAAAGGCTGCATGGGTAGCCCCACCACTTGACAGGTGCCCCACCCCCTGGTCACCATCTTGGGACCAATGTCCCAGGGCCAGCACCAGTGGGGCCCAGAGCAGGGCTCAGGCTGGCAGGGGCCCAGCTGGGCTGGGCTGTACCAGAAGGGAGAAGGGGGAGCTGGCTCAGCTCCATAGACCCCCTGCTGGCCGGGACCCCTGTACTCCTGCCACCCTGCTCTGAGCTTCACAGCACTGGCCCCAGGAAACTGGTGTGGGCCCCATGCAGCCGCTCACTCCCAGTGCCACCCACCCCTGTGGTACAGGCAGGGAGCAGTGTGCAGTCCCTGCCCCCTGGCAGGGAAGGAGCTGGTGCTCAGCATGGGGAAAAGCAGCCCCTCCCCTGCCCCGTGGTCGGCACTCCCTGCTGCAGCTGCTTGCAGCCCACGCGAGGCTGTCCCAAGCAAGCACAAGCAGCCCCACACAGGCTGCGAGCAGCTGCAGCACGGGGCGCTGGGCATATGGCAGGCAAGGGGCTGCTTTTCCCCACGCTCAGCACCAAATTTTAACCTGCTCCTGCTGCCAACCTGGGCCCCACGTCAGCTCCAGGCTCACCTGTCGGGGCTGTACCACGGCGGCAGCAGCTGCGGCCCCCCCGCTTGCCCTGTCAGGCAGCGTTTACTGCTGCTCCCCACCCGGAGCTCACGCACTGGGCAGCACAGGGGTGGCAGTGGCAGTCTCATCGCAGCTTACCACAGTGCGAGCTCCAGGTGGGCAGCAGCAGCAAACACTGCCTGGCGCAGCAAGTGGGGGGCCCAAGCTGCTGCTGCCATAAAACAGCTCTGATGGGTGAGCCCAGAGCCAGCACGGGGCCCAGGCTGGCAGTGGGGCCGGGTTACAAGCTAGTGCTGAGTGCAGGGGAAAAAGCAGTCCCTCACACCCACCTGCTCAGGGCAGCCCCGTGCAGGCTGCAAGCGGCTCCAGCAGAGTGACAACCATGGGGCGGGGGAGGGGCTACTTCTCCCCATGCTCCGCACCAGTTCCTTCCCTGCCCTCCCCTTCCCCCTCCTTACCTGAGCTTCACGCACTGGGACAGCCATGTGGTCCCAGGCCAGAAGCCCCTGCTGAGGCATCTGGGGTGGGGGGGCCGGGCAGTCCCTGCTCTTGCAGGAGCCTGCCGAGGATTCCCCTGGGTCCTACTGCCCCTGGTTCCTGT